GTGTGTGTGTGTGTGTGTGTGTCTTGATAGGATATTTCCCCCTCCACTGAATTATTCTTCTGCTCTCTATTTGCTCCACAGTTTTATCTATGCATTATCTATGGGAGCATATCTCCACTGTTTAATTGCTTAAATATAATCTTTCTGTTGGGTCACTGTGAGTCAGCAAAATAAACTTAAGTGTTTGGAAAAACACAGCTCTCCCCTTCTCTGAAAAGAGGGTGAAAGAACAGATTTTTTCATGTGAAAGCTTCAAAGCCCAGATTCAGTTAGGGTCACAGAATTAATTGGCCCTGACAGTTGGATATCCAGCACCTAAAGGGAGAAGACTTCAGCTCCCCTGGTTGAGGAAGGAGATGGACGGCATGGGAGACACTGGGATCGTACAATCTCTTGGAGAACACAAAGGTACTCTGCTCTTATCACATCTCCTTAAAACCTGGCAGGAGCCCTCCATACGTTCCTTCCCTTAGCTCACTTCCTTCACATCCAGCCTGAGCTTGGTTGAGCATACACTGAAGGAAAACTTTCGGTTAACCAATGGTAACCCCAAGGTCTTCGTACTATCATTAGCAATGTGTTTTCCCCTCTGTCATGGACTGTGGCAGTGTGCTGGATCCAGCCAGGCCATAAGAAGCCAAGCATGTTTCTCTCCAGACAGGTTAGGTACTCTCAATTATTTGGATTGAATATAGTTGGTTATACCCCTCCCCCCAAAAAAACTACACTTATACTGCTATCTAAATTGTAAAAACAAAACAAAAGTAAACCAATCCTGCAACTCACTCCATTAGGTTTGCACTTCTGACCTAGGCTTGCTTAAAACTCTCCCATGGTTACTTTAGTGTCACACATAAAAGAGACAGAGTGGTCTGTGTCAAACTAACTGGAACCTTCTTAGCATGCTTTTCTCAGAGGAGTGTATTTTCCTTCATAAATCTCTGCCTTTCTTCTACCTTCAGTGAGTCCTGCTCACTTCTGTGGGTTACAAAGATGCTGGGTATCAGGTGAGACAGAGAATGTCTTGGAGCCTGGGCTTGTCAGCCAAGAGTCAGGTTGTTGTAGGCAACTGAGTTCGATCAAATATTACAGATAGGGGTAGCCCCTCCAAGGAGCCTGTGCAGAAGAGGAGAGGCTTTGCACCTGGGGGAGACAGGCACCTCTAGCTGACAGCCAGACCTCAGGACAAGCAGACATACCCGCACAGTTTCCTATGGGTAAACATCAGGGACTGACATTCTATGTATGGACCTGTCATGGCGAGGAAGCCAGGAAGAGTCATTAACCCTAACCTTTCAGCAAGAGCCTCTCTTCTGTACTCAGGTCTGCTTGCTACAAGACTTGCTTCCCTCTTTGATCCCAATTTGTTCCATTTTCCCTGAGCAAGCCGTTAGTCTACTGAGTTATGTCCCCTGCCCGTCTTTCTGAATTTTAAAGAACACCAACCCATTCCAGATATTTAGCAGGCTAAGAGTTTGTTTCTCTTTTATCAAAGTGAGTCTTCTATCCCCTTCCTTGTTTTCCTTTCAACGCCTTCTCTGCTGGAAGGCTGCCCACAGTTTGTAGTCGTGGACAGACCTGGTCCTAGAACACAATGAAGTTCTGCCAGGTGAAGGCAAAGCCTAGAATCATGTAGGTTTCTGTTTGAGTTCATGCAACTCAAACTGTCATTTATTTAAAAAGACCCTGTCTGAGATCCACTAGTTCGCTCCTCCTTTTGCACAGGGTCTCTTAGTAGCCCAGTGAAAGCATACACGGGTTTCCACTTGTGCAGGCAACAGTCCCTCCCAGGGCTCCTTCACTCAGTCCACTAGGGACAAAAGCCTTCTTCCCCTTGGCTGAGTACTTGCCTAGGACTGGGGAAAAGATGGTATCCACCAGCTGCGCAGCTGCCCAGCACTGCAGTTCGTCCTGGGCTTCTCAGGCAGTGGCGAAAGGGGCCAAGCCCGACCCACAGTCACGCCCCTCGTGGGCGGAGCATACGCCCTTCGGGCCCGCCCCCGGCCGGGGCTGGGTGCTAGCGGAGGATGGGTGAGGTCATCTGCAGGCACTGAATGCAAGCCCTCCCGTGGTGCTCTGCGTCAGGGTACTATGCGGGCCCCGCCAGGAGGGCCAGGTCTGTAACTGGAGTTCTTTTTGGCTGAGACCTGGGTGGAGGGTCACTCTGCCAGTTGCGCCCCAAATCTCGCTCCTGCTGGTCGCACTGCAGCAGCGGAGACCTCAGCGCAGTGCTCACTTTTTACAGGCAGGTGAAAAGAGCGTTGTAGTGAAAAACCAAGGACCTTAATAACTAAATTCTGAGACGGTCTTCCTGATACCAAACGCTTTAGAAGTCAGCTACGCATGATATGTGTCACCCTGCTCGGGGCCCAAGGGAAGTTTTCGGTGGTGAAAGAACGCACATGCGCAAGATCTCAGCAACAGCAGCAGGCAGCATGGAGCAGAGCAGAGTGCGAGGCCTCAGCACTTTATTGTCTTTATTGCACAATTGTTTATAGTTTTAAAACGATAAGATCAAAACAATAAAGATGATACAGAATTTCGAAACAAGACGATAGGAAATAAACAGTGATTGTTTTATGGCATATTGTTATATGCCCAGCTGCCAGATAGAGGCATGCCAACTTGATCAAACTATGTAAGCACTAACTGTTCCTTTCAATAAACTAATAGAAATTAGTAGTAAAATTTATCTTATCTGCATGAGTTAGCAGTGTGTGGTGAAGGTGGTCTTGGACTATGGATTTACCATGTGGATTAGTAACTGGAATTTTTCTTGCATGGAGTTGATACACCAGTCAGTATGTTCATCCCCAGTATGCATCTGCCAACTAGAGAAACACAAACATCATATGGGTGTGGGGACAAGTGCCCAAGAGTGAAAGTCACCTGGGCCTTCTGGATTGTAATGTAGTAACTTCCATACCCTTCTGTGCATGAAGTAGTCCTGCGAAACAGTCCGGGCTGCCACATTTTAGCACTGATTCAGCTCTGGTGTCCACCAATGCTAGTATATGCTGCACCACCTTTAGGGAACAGTAAATTAATCCACATGTGGCCTCCAGTCTCCCAGAACCACCAAAACCCAGGTACCTCGGATTGCCTCCTTGTTGGGGCAAAACAAGGCCACTGTTACAGTTGTATTTATTTATTTTAATCAGGGTCAGTGCTGTCCTTCTAGCCGTGGCCCTTTGGTTGGTATTGCTGCTCAGGGTATAGCTAGCTTCCTTACAGAGTCATCCACACAGCTAGTGGCTTCCCATGTAACTTACCTGTGACTTGGCCTGTGGCCGGCAAGCTCATTGGACTGGTGTAGGAGACACTTCCAGGTCCTCGTCTCGGTCCAAGAAGCCAATATTTGTAATCCCAAAGTTACGTTATTGGAATCCCATCAAATTGATTCCAGTCTACCACTTACAATGCAACTCACGGAGAAAATAAAGACACTAAATTATATCTTCAGTCATCGGGGAGTCAAAGGTCCAGCCATGAAGATGGCTTTCTGGAACCAAGAGAGCAACCCAGGGCCTCACCCAGTTTTATTCAATGGGGGAGTGGCTTGAGGATTGACTGAGAATTGCGGGACAGAGACTACTATGAGCTGAGCTAGGTGGGTGGCCTAAATTTACCTCTGCGATATGCAGAGAGGATATGCAGAGAGAGTAATCTGCATTATGTAGTATCTAATGTTTTGGTAAGTCTGGTGCTTCAGCTTTGTTGTAGCCTTTCAAGTCCCAGGAAGTCACAGCCTCTGTCTGGAGGCTCGATTCCAGCTGGCGCTGTGGAGCATTCGCTCTATTGTCCTGTCTCAACCCAGCTCACATTAAAGAGCAGCAGGTATAGGTTACCAGGGAAACACGCACGGCACCTTCAAAGACTATCACCAGCACCTCAGCTAGACCAATATACATTGCTTAAGGCCAATTGAAGAATAAACAGCAGTCCTAGCCAGCTCTGTACATAACAATACAAGGAAATGGGGTCAGGCTCAGTCAAAATGGAGACATTCACTCTTCTTTCAAGGAGAGCTGCTCAGGTGGTCCTCCACAGACTGGCACTGACTGACCTTTAGGGGCCCCATGGCCTGTCATGGGGGTGAATGTGGCAATTCACCTGGAGGCTCCTCCTTTTTTTTGTGTGCAGTTTTTATAGATCTCCCCTTACCTTGGCGCTTCACTCTCAGATCTCCCAGCCTGGCCAAGGCAGCCACAAGGCATCATGGGACCTGTGATCCGTAAAACGGATGGCTGCCACTGACCCTACCATCCTAGCTGGTCTGCTTGCCAGGGTCATGTCCTTCATATGTACCACCAGCAGGTCCTCATCTGGGCTAAGATACTGTACTGTGACCTTCAGTTGATGCATGCCATGTCATGTACCATCATCGCCATTTCTACGTAGTCTGACCATTTAGAAACTTGCTCCAGGCTGGTCACCTGGATTCTCCCTATTCCTATCCCATCTTAGAGGATACACAGCTCAGAAAGCACTATGAAGAGCAGTGGTGGATGATGTCCTCATGGCTAAGTCTGGCACTTAGCCTCCAGACATAGTGGGGAGTCGCTGCACAGCTAAATAGCAACTCACTAATGGTGTCATCTTGATTAGGGACCAGAGGACTCTGCCCAACAAATGAGCTTACCAGGGGAAAACCACCGCAAACTGTTTTGGTGCACAGTAAGCTGTCAATGGACTTTGATTAGTATTATTAATTTTTATTGTCATTCTTCTATTCTGAATTTTGAGAGTCGTTGGCATTTGCCAGTCATTTTGGCACATCAAGCAAGTGAAAGGAAAAACGTCCTTGGCTTATTTGAGTCACACTTCCCAGGGATAGCTGAATGCATGCAGTCTGGAAGCACTCCACTGCATGCAGTCTACCAGCAACTCCAGGTGAAGCACATCAGGGTTGCAGATAAACTTCACTAAAACACGGAGAGGTGAGTTCCCCCGCGGCAATAGAGGAGCATCTACCAATAATCTCATGGGGACGCTCAGCCTCAGTATTCCGCAAGGAAAGGGTACTCCTCCATATTTTCAAGGTCCCTGAAAGAAGCACAGAGAGAAAAAGTGTCCCATGAAGCAACATCTTGAGCATAATCTGCATTCTTGCGTGTATGGGTTCCAGTTTCCCTGTATCCTCTCAGCTCCTGCCCACCACATCAAGATTTTATAAGAATAAAATAAGGGGCTTATACTCTCACATCCTCAAATTTGTGGGAGGAATATTTGGGAAAGGAGGGTGTGTGGGTCAGTAGGCCCCAGAGAACCAGAATGAAATGGTAAATATGGCTCATAAGAAGCCTAGTGTTAGGTGAAGTGCCTTAAAACTACTGTCTCAATTCTTTCTGACAACCTTGTAAGTTGGGGAATAGTAGCAAAATTCATGCTTGGTGATTATTGTATTACATGAGAAACCCCAGATTAAGTGCCTGCTTTGGCAAGTGCAGGGACCAGGCTGCAATCCCTGTTCCAGCATGTCCTGCTGGCCCACCCCTGGGGTGTGCTGAGCCAGAGATCTAGTCTGGGTGTGGTGGTGCACGCCTGTAATCCCACAACTGGGGAGGCTGAAAACAGGAGGATCACTATGAGTCCAAGCTGCGTAGTGAGACCTTGTACCAAATACACAAATGAAAAGAAAAGATTTTTAAAAATAAACATAGAAATGAGAAACCCTACAGGCAAATGCTCACAGTCCCTGACACGCTGTAAGCTCGCTTTCAGTGCTAATTGGCATTTCATCTCTATCATACAGATGAAGAAATAAGCTTGGAAATGTTGGTAAATTCATCAAGGCCATGTACCAAATAAATACATGATACAGCTCAGATTTAGGACCATGTAGATTTACTCATATGGCGACCAATCCATTGTCTCCACTGACACATCAAATTATTTGAGTTTTCCTTGTAGCTGTCCAGTGAGAATTACAAACATATTTCAAGTCAAGCTCCTGATTTCTCCTCTTGAATGGTGATGCCCTTCTCTCATTGCTCACGGAAAAGCAACCAATAGATAAACTCTCACAGCCATCTTTGACTCTTAATTTGTTAGCAAGTTTACTTGATTGTTTCCCCAGTATATGCAGAATTAGATCATTCTTTAGCTCCTGCAGGAGCCCCACCCAGGTCTGGTCACCACCATCACTTCCTAAATTATTAGTATGGTCTCCCTGTAAACTTCTAGTGCAGAAGCCACTGTGATTATTGTAGTCATGAGTCAGATTCTCCCCTCCTGCTCAAGACATCAAGTGGAGTCTGGGCTCAGAACTAAACTTCAGAGTTGCTCTCATGACCTATGCCTCTCTCCATTCTCTGGGCCCCTAAAACTCATTGAGATCTCACTAATTCACAGGCTTTCTCTTTCTCAGTTATTCTGCTCCAGCCTTATTGCTCAACTTCCTTAAATATCCACATACCCCAGGATGTTTGCACTTACTGCTATCACTGTTAAAGGTATTCTTCCCCCTAAATAGCTGGATGGCTCACCCATCATTTCTTGTGCTTTCTGCTAAGCTGTCATATCTCAGTAAAATCTCCCCTAGCCCACTCCATAGAAACTATCCATCTCATCATGCCCAATGACTGCCTATCCTCTCTTTAACATATTTTTCTTCATAGAACCTGATACTCTCATATATGACACTATATGATTCATGAGCTTATTTCTGTCCATGACTTTGAGTAGGAAGAAAATTGGACAAGAACCAAATGAAATTTCCCCTTGTCATCAACTTTAAATCTAGTCATTGAATTTGATAGTTTTTCAGTTTGCAAGCAGACCCATAGAAAGCATTAAGTTTATGAACTGAGGAACCACTGTGTATTTTAAGTCAATTGTGTTTTTCCCTCTAGAAGATAAGCTGGTGGAAGTAGATAGTTTGTACAGTACGATAATCACAACCTTCTAAAGACTGCTTCGAATACAGTATGTTACCAATGAATTATTGACTAAATATGTGGATGACTCTGCCTCCTACATTATAATGACATGGTCTCTCTTAAAATAGCAAGTATACATCCAGAATTTTAGGCAACAGGAAGCAGTTACAAATATATCTTTCCTCATTCTGATTCCCTGAGACACCAATTTAAAATTTTAAGACTGTTAGATAATACTACTTGATGATAGAAAACAATGCTAGCTGTCTTCCAATCCTTTCATTAAATTTGCTTCTACTATAGAACCGAATCAAACTGCTAAGATTTTCCAAGTTTATTGTATGTCACTTACGGAGGCCCGATGCAGGCCCTCCAGTTTCTGTTGAAGCTGAGGATGGTTGCCATCTCCGCATCACTCAGTTTGAAGTCAAAGACCTGGAAAGATGAGTTCAAAAACATCCTTGGAAGGCAATTCTTGATAGGTTTGGAGATCTCCACCCATGTGGCCAGGGGATGAGCCACCATTGCAGCTCACATTGATACAGGAGATTAGGACACAGACATCCACTGTGTCCATTGGATACAAATTATTCTCCCAGGTTAGTCCTTCACCAACACTGTATGCCATTACTTCACTTTCAAATAGATTTACCCTTTTGTCCCCATCTTGTCAACTTTAAGGCAGAGAGATGATGTAGATGGAGCTGTGATGACACTGCAGGCTAGGGTAAAGGCCTGGTACACCTAGTGCTTATGTTCCAAAACGAAGATTTGCCATGCGGGCATGAAACAATAGTGTGCACAACATCTGTCCTTCCTGAGGCCCACACAGGCTCTTCCCAAAGCACTGTTTTTTAAGTCCCACCCATTCACATTCTCATGGGAGGAGGGGGAGTTGTAGGACAGGACAATATGTACCTCCGGACAGCTTGCTCTTCTGTGCAGCCAATACCTAACAGATGAAGAACCAACAAGCATCCTCTACACAGTGTCACACAAAGATATAACAGGCCTTTTCCAGTCAGTGCCCCACAATGCTCGGCCCATCTCAGATTTACTGAGGCCAGATGCCAGCCAAAGAGATGACACAGTGCTGGGAAGTGAGGTGGACCCACTGACAATCCACTATGAGATGAGACATCTGTCACATACTCCACTGATGAATCCCAGAGGACCAGAAAGGATCTCACCTGAAAGTTCTCAACAATACGTGCTGGGGTCACAGACTTGGGGATCACTGCTACATTCCTCTGGATATGGAACCTGATCAGAACCTGTGTGGAAAAGGACATCATGTTTCTGATTACCTATGAGGATCCCAACCAAAAAAATAACAACAATAATAAAATTTCTGTGGTTTGGTGTGGGTTTAGGTACAATAGCCAGTATCAACTGAGAGGTTAACTCAGATGTACCTGCCAGTCCTCTACTCGTTTCTCTGAGTCCAAGTAGCAATGCTATGATTTTATTTATTTGGGTATTGGGAAAATGGCTTGGTATCTGGAGGGTGAGACTTGGGGCATGACCCCAAACCCACACATCTTGTGCTTCGCAGCAAGCAAGAATGTACTCCTAGCAGAAAAGAGGAGGTCCTGGTTCATTGAGACCCAACATTCTTCCTGAAACCCAGAAGACTTCAAAGATAGGCCTTAAGTGCTTTGTCCCATTTTTGGCCCTTCAAGGAGCTCAGTGAAAACAATAGCAGGAATTTGGCCCCAGACCTAAAATGCCATGGCTTGGTGAAAGCGTTTTAGAAAAGCCAAAAACACCTGACATTGTACCTGGGCTATAGTTTTTTTGTGCCTCTGAGCAATCTCTTTAATCTTGGGATCTTCTAGCAGTGAAGGGTCATCTGGCTTGGCCCTGGAGGCAGACAGATGGTAGGTATGAGCAATCACCATAGGCCCTGCACTCACCTATGTTATCCTCACCACAGTCTGCAGGCTGTGCACCACAGCCTTCTCTGTCTGCAAGAGAAGCAAGAAGACCTGACCTGATGGGTAGGTATGTTCTTCCCATAACCTACCCATGGGCTCTGGAGCCTCAGTATTTGTTAACATTACCATCACTATGTGGCTGAGATGAAGTACTTTCAGAAGGTCAGGATGGTGCCCTTGCCTTAGCTTGTTGGTTCTTTAATTTCCACCTTTTCTCACCGTAATCCTATTCATGCATACCAAACACATTGCCTCTAACATGTTTTTTTTACATTGCAGCACAGATCCACTCCAAATAATAAATTATAAACTAATGTTTTCAAAGTATGAAGAGAAAGAAGTCAACACTGGGAAGACTCACCATGATCTATCTGGGGAGCCCAGAGGGCTGTAGGCAGTGATAGTGATGCCCTTCGAGTTGCAGTACTGGATCAGTTTCTCCTGGGTGAGGTATGGGTGACACTCCACCTGCAAGTGTGAACAATCTACATCAGTAGCAGATGTGGCCTGCTTTGGAGCAGCCAGACATCTGAAAAAGATTTCCAAGCAAAGAACGAACACATAGACTTGGTAATCCAGACCTGTAGACCTGCATTCTGCTTCACCAAGGCATTCTGATTACTGAGCCCTGGGATGAGACTTAGTACACAGCATTCAACTTTCCTCTAAACATTTCAAAAGCAGTAGAGCAGGCCTCTGTAGCAGACCAAATTTACCTGGTTCGTGACTGGTTTATATTTCAGCCCTGGCTTATTCAAGAGCTTTTCGATTTGAAAGTGGTTGAAATTGGAGATGCCAATGGCTTTCACCAAACCTTCATCCACCAGCTCCTCCATGACCTGTCACAGAAAAGAAAGACATACAGAAAATTATCAAGTAAACATAGAGAATGAGCTGTGGCTTCATGCTATCTCATGGAGTACAAATGACCAGTGATCCATCTCACAATGGTGACTGAGGGTAGGAGGAAATTCCTACTCTGAGTGTATCGCAATGTTGTAGAAATCATGGCTAGTATATTTAGGTTCTGGTTTGATCTCCAGTAGTGATGGGGTTGGGGAAGGAGAAAGAAGAAAAGGAGGAAAAAGCAGAAGGAGGAAGGAATAAGAAGAAGAACAGGAAAAGAAAGAAGAGGAAGGGAAAGAGAAAAGCCCCTAATTTTCCCAGATTGACAGTTTCTATTGACTTGGCTGTGCATTTAGAGAAACACCCAGCACTGACATTGTCAATCCTATCATACTCACATCAATATTTTTATGAATAATTCTGTTATTATGAAAAAATGTAAGTTCTTCTTTTGAAAATTTAGATTTAAGCAACTTATTTTTGTGAATTTATCAAACAAGTGTTTAGGCTGCTTGTTTGGATAATGCTGGTGTTATAGGTAACTAAGTTAGAAATAAATATGATGGAGAGAGAGACGGCTAGGCTGTGGAAAGAAGCAGTGCAGAAGATGAGATGTCACACAAATGTGGGAGACCAACATGTCCACCATAGGCCAGACCTCAAGACAAAACATAAAACATATGCACCCAACCACTTTCTAAGGATAAATAGCAGGGGTTGATATTTGAAATAGGTATTGATAACCTTCAGGAAGCCAGAAGAGCTGCAACCCCAACCATGCACAGGAAACACCCCTGTTGTGTATTCATGCCTGCTTGCCACCTGACTTCTTTTTCATTTTATCCCCATTTAATCAATTTTACCTGTGCAACTACACTCATAATTTTTTTGGTTGACCATAGTGATACAGGGGAAAGAAATTCACAGACAGCTAGATATCTAGTTCATGTTTCCTAAAACTAAAGAAGGAATTTTAGGAACAACAGAGGTTAACAGAAGATAGTATTTATTGGGGGAGGACCAGCCAAATAGCTCAGGGGATTAAAGGACCTACTAGCAGGTGCAAGGACCAGGAGTTGGATCTCAGGGCGTGCCATGTAGGCCCCACCCTCAGGCTGCAATGAGATTTCTATTAAGACTGGGTGGGTAGGCATGTGCCTGTAATCCCAGCTGTTAGGAGGCTTTAAACAGGCAGATAACTATGAGTTTGATCTAGTAGTGAGACCCTGAATACCCTATAGGCCCTTCCCTAAAATACAAAAAAAAAAAAAAAAAAAAAAAATCTTGGGGGAAAGACAGTTTCAGTATGAGTGAGATAAAAGGGGTCCAAAAGGGATTGTCCAAAGATACGGCCTTTTCTAGGGATTTTTATAGAGGAAATCCATGAGGTAAGCTTGGGTCCAGGGTGGGAAACATGGGAAATCATTAGGTGGGCATGATATTGGTCAAATATAAGTTCTACTTACAAGATTATGAATATAATGGCTAAAGTAAAATGATTAAATCATGATCAGAATTGGACAGGGCAAGGGGGCATGAATAGAGAACACAAGATTTTCCCATATGGTGTTGGGTTAGTAGCTCTTCCTGGTTTCCTTATGGTGATAGATACTTATTTAGAATATCAATCCCTTAGAGAGCAGTCAGCCCTCCAGTGGACACCCTTTTAGTTAGGGCAGGGCTTGTGGGGCCTGTGAAGGCAGTCCCTCTTAAGACGGCCTGGCTTTCCACAGCAGTAGCAGTTCAGGCTAATGGTTTAGCTCTTCTTAAATCCCTGAAAATCAGACTTTGGGCCTATTTTTTTGGAGGCCACAAGAAAAGCGGTATCTTTTTAGTCTCTTGGTTTTCTCTCCTGCATTTTCTCCCAGTCTAAATTATAGAACACAAAGGAGGCAGTTTTTACTAAATTATCAAGTGAGCTCTCTGAAGCAAAAGCTATCTTTTGTAGCTTTTCTAATTTCTGCAGTTGACTGAAGAATGAACATGTCTTTAAGAATGGTCTGTCCCTGTGTTAAATCAGGGGCTCTGGACATACGTTACACCAGTGCCTTTAGGAAATGTTCTAAGATGGCACAACGTTTTTTATCTTCTTCCTGATAAATAAATGGCACTTTCAAATAAGTAGCAGCCTTGGTTTTTCTCCTTCTTAGACCCTCAAAAATACACAATTGAAAATATCTCCCGCTTCACTCTCCTGTCTCGCTGTTAAGTCAGCAGGGGTCTTGGGTAGGGACTGCTTGTGCTTCAGTGGGAACTGGTAGCTCCCCTGGCTATCTGTGTTGGCTGCTTAAAAGCAACCAGATCATA